GAATACCGGCCCTAGAGACAGAAAACAGAGATGTGTCATTGAAGGGTATGGCTTGATTGGCTGTCTAAGGCCTGTATTCATAGTTGGTTCTTATTCAAAGACTGTCTTAAGCATGAAGGAAGATATAAGGAGACTCCACTCGGTCTCGCCAGTCTACAAGACATGAACCCATTTTAGGTTTCGAGTTCCGTTTCCGATTCTCGACACTCGCAGCGCTCGTGAATTTAGTAGTGCTGCGCATAATGAGTGCGAGTAAGAGAAATGATCATTTCTCTTACTCGCACTCATCAGAATCGGAAGCTGAACTCGAAACCTAAAATGGGTCCACTTTTATTTTACGGAGTGGAGTCTCCTTATATCTTACTTCCTGCTCTTAAGCCAGAAACACATAGAAAAACGTAAGGCCGTAAGACGTATCAGTAAGGAAATCGTAACATTGGATTCGCTACCGGCCTTATGGTCTCTACTGTAATTGGCCAATTCGCTTACTGATTACGTTTTACGGCCTTACGTTTTGTATGTGCCATGGGCTTTACTTCGCCCTTTTAAGTTTTGTTGAATAATGCCATTAATTTCATCTTGGCTTACTATCGCCATATCCTCTTCATTTAAAAATAAAATTAATACTTTATTTTTATCCTCTAATAAGACCGGGAAATCATGCAATTGCTGTAATCGCTGTTCCATCGCAAATCGCAAATATTCGTCCGTTCATTATTGTATTGTCCGGTACTCGTTGCTCGTTCCGAATTACAAATCATGCGCATAGACCGCATGAACGCATCAGACACATCAACTGCCTCAGGTCGAAAGAGAAGCAGTCAATGCGCTGAGTGGAGTGCTAAGAATTGACTGCGTTCAGCAGAAAAACAGCTTTGCAACTGTTGTAAAATTTTTGAATATGATTGGCTTATACATTTAGATCTAATGAGGAAGTAAAGGCAAGACCAATCATATTAAAGAATTTTGCAACAGTTGCAAAGCTGCTTTCTCTGCTGAACGCAGCCATTCAGTACGGTTAGTACAATCTGGGGAATTCAAGTACTCTCGAAGCGCTTTCGAAGCGCGCAATAGTTAACTCGGAACGACTTTCTATGCAGTCTACGCGCTTCATGCGCGACTCGGAACGCACCCTTATTATATCAGGCGAATACTAAAGCCCATGGCACATAGAAAAACGTAAGGTCGTAAACGTAATCAGTAAGCGAATTGACCAATCACAGTTGAGAATGTAAGCGTCCGCCTCTCACGTTCTCAACTGTGATTGGTCAATTCGCTTACTGATTACGTTTACGGAATTACGTTTTTCTATGTGCCATGGGCTTTAAGGTTGATTTATACTGGCCGTAAACTGTTAACTTATGCCGTAATCTGTAAAAATTGACCAATCACAGTCGAATGAGAGGGGAATAATCGATTATAATTGGTCAATTTTTACAGATTACAGCATAAGTTAACAGATTACGGCCAGTATAA